ATGGATGGTGTGTGAAGAGGAAAAAAAAAAAAATATTAGAGCTGTGGCAATGGTCCACTCCAGATCACCAAATAAGCCACTTGGACCCAACTTGATAATCAGAATAAGATGGCAGAGAAGACACAAAATGTTAAGATCCCAAATTTATGGGGTCACTAGTCTACTTCGCAGAGGGGTTCTCTGTACTTTCATTTCTGTTTTGATTCTTGAATTCTCTTTTAAATTCCATCTTTGCTCATTCATTACACTATTGTGCTCACTGTTCGTACCACCTAAAGGTAAACTGGTTTAATCCACGTACGTCTCAAAGTCAGGCTGCATCCCTGCATCATGCTTTTACATTTCCACTCTTTGATAATAGCTCTTCCTAGCAGCCCAGTTTAAATTCTTAATTTTGTCTAATTCCTCTAAATGCACAATGATTCTTCAACTGGAAAGGAAAGAGAGTAGCTCTGAATGATCCATATGTTGAAGTACTGTATTTTCATCATTTAAATGATAAACTTCCCATCAAATATCCACAAATGTACATTCATGACTCCCATCCAATGATCTATTGGCCAGAGGCACATACATTGTTTTAATTTATTTTGGAGTAAAGGTGCTTTCCTGCCGAGTTTGAATAAGCTTGCTATGTACCAAACAGATGTTCAATAAAAGAGAGACTTTACTGAATATGACATATAAACACAGGGAAACAGGATGAAGGAAGGAAAATTACAGGATGTATGGATTCCTGGTTCATCAAACAACAGGCCACAGTTTTAATCGGGGCCCTTTTATGGCTGGAGCAGTAATGAAACAGAAGGACCGGGGATGTCTCAGGAGAAGGTAACATCTCTGTATTGCTCGTGGTGAATTAACGTCGGTGAACCCACTGTGACAGCACACAGTTTCCCTGTCCCCTCTGCAGCAGCACGATGGCTCCTGTAGTTGCTAAACTGTTCCTCCCAGCATGGAAAAAAAAAAAAAAAAAACCTAAAAAATTTCAGCTGCACAATCCCGGTGAATTAAAGGGTCTGGAGGTGGGCACATGAGGGTTTCTTTCCACCGTGGAAAATACCCAGGTTTGCTCTCGCCAGGGAAAAGTGTTTCTTAAAGTCTTGCATCTATTCAGGCTTTTCCTATTTGGAGAGAGTTGCTATTTAAGGAGGCACTGAGGAGAGCAAAGCCAGCCTGATTCATCGGGAGATCAAAGAGGGAATGCTGCCTTTGAGATAAAGATGTCTTCGCTTTGAAAGGTTTCTCCTTTGTGCAGGAGTGTGGCAGCAGGATGTCCACCCACCGGGGAACGGCTCTCTGAGTGGGACACCTCCTCCTAAGAGAGATACAAGAGGAGAAAAGTCCCTACTCTGCCTGAGCCTGGTGAGATTAACTTTGGAGGCAAAGCTGAATTTTTGGATGTTTCCATCAAAGTGCCTGACCTTCTCCCCGGCTCCACAGCCAGATGCGAGCAGGACAGCACAACTGTGGCTGCGACATCTCTCTGCCTTCTAAGACAGATAATTAGACTCAAACCTGCATCATTTAAAAACTGATTTATAAAAACCCACTGAAATTTTTCTTATTTGCAGGTTGCTTACAGATGTGAATCTCGATGCTGATTTGCTAGGAAAGATTTATTGTCATTTTCAGCCAAGCCATTTGCCATCCTTGTCCAGGGGCAATGCATTTTGCCTCACCTCTACCTTACAGGGTTGATGTGTCAGCATGGTGAAAACTTAAAAGTATTTAAATACTTTTCTGGGCAAACTTGATGGTACAGAGGGCAGACTGGCTCCTGTAGATGTTACTGTCAGTGCTCTGCATCTGCATTCCTTGGTACTTGCAAAATCAGTCCTAATAGGAGTGGTAACGCCCTGATATTTCCAAACAGAAGCAAAAGCTTATTAGCAAACTAGGAACCATCAGAGTATGGCTTGCCTGGCTTGAATCAGCAGGTATGGAGACTTGGGCCTTTTCCTTCCTTCCTTCCTTCCTTCCTTCCTGCCTTCCTGCCTTCCTGCCTTCCTGCCTTCCTGCCTTCCTGCCTTCCTGCCTTCCTGCCTTCCTCCCTCTTCCTTTCCTTTCCTTTCCTTTCCTTTCCTTTCCTTTCCTTTCCTTTCCTTTCCTTTCCTTTCCTTTCCTTTCCTTTCCTTTCCTTTCCTTTCCTTTCCTTTCCTTTCCTTTCCTTTCCTTTCCTTTCCTTTCCTTTCCTTTCCTTTCCTTTCCTTTCCTTTCCTTTCCTTTCCTTTCCTTTCCTTTCCTTTCCTTTCCTTTCCTTTCCTTTCCTTTCCTTTCCTTTCCTTTCCTTTCCTTTCCTTTCCTTTCCTTTCCTTTCCTTTCCTTTCCTTTCCTTTCCTTTCCTTTCCTTTCCTTTCCTTTCCTTTCCTTTCCTTTCCTTTCCTTTCCTTTCCTTTCCTTTCCTTTCCTTTCCTTTCCTTTCCTTTCCTTTCCTTTCCTTTCCTTTCCTTTCCTTTCCTTTCCTTTCCTTTCCTTTCCTTTCCTTTCCTTTCCTTTCCTTTCCTTTCCTTTCCTTTCCTTTCCTTTCCTTTCCTTTCCTTTCCTTTCCTTTCCTTTCCTTTCCTTTCCTTTCCTTTCCTTTCCTTTCCTTTCCTTTCCTTTCCTTTCCTTTCCTTTCCTTTCCTTTCCTTTCCTTTCCTTTCCTTTCCTTTCCTTTCCTTTCCTTTCCTTTCCTTTCCTTTCCTTTCCTTTCC